ATATATATATATATATATATATATATATATATATACATATATATATATATATATATATATATATATATATATATATATATATATATATATATATATATATATATATATATATATATATATATATATATATATATATATATATATATATATATATATATATATATATATATATATATATATAAAGCACCATGATTACAAGATGTGATATACTTGGACTAACTTCACTAAGTGACAGAAGAAAACGTGGTGACCTTATCCAAAAATTCAAAATTGAAAATCAACTGGCATATTGACCCAATATACATTCCTCCTATCTATGGTCATCACAAACACTTTCATCTCAAAAATAATAGTAACTGCCTCGTTCGACTTTTACAATCGGGTTGCAAATGCTCTGACGGATGATGATGTCAACGCCTCTACTATTGACAGTTTCAAAAAAAAACTCACAGTTACCACAGTGCATCATTTTCCGTGGCTGTATTGTTGCAGCTATACTAGCTAGCTTGCTAGCTAATGATGAACTTACGGTTCATATTTGTACCATGTAACTTTAATTGTAATTGTAATTAATATAACAAATAAAATTTAATCCTAATACTAAATATATATACATATATATATATATATATATATATATATATATATATATATATATATATATATATATATATATATATGTATATATATTTATATAGCTATAGCTATACTAGCTAGCTTGCTAGCTAATGATGAACTTACGGTTCATATTTGTACCATGTAACTTTAATTGTAATTGTAATTAATATAACAAATAAAATTTAATCCTAATACTAAATATATATACATATATATATATATATATATATATATATATATATATATATATAAAGCTAATGTAATAAATAAATCAATTAATATGTAAATGTAATTTAATAAATAAAGTAATATGCAGATGTATTATATAAATAAAACAAATTATATATATATATATATATATATATATATATATATATATATATATATATATATATATATATATATATATATATATATATATTAGTGTTAGTATTACTTTCATTCATATTACTTTAAAAACCTAGGAGTCTTTATTCCCAATAACAGTGGTATTCAGGTTAAAAATTGAAATGTTTCTGTAAATCTTCTGTTTAGGTTCTTCAATGTAGTTCAAATGTCCCTTATGAAATCTTAAATTAAGAGTTTTTAATCCTAAAAAGTTACCGAATTTCTCCCCTTTCTTTTTTTCTCTTCATTTTCATTAAAGAAAAAGGGAAATTATGTGAATTTTAAACTTATTTCTTTTACTGTATATACAGATATTAAAACAACTATTATCATCTTAATAATTTTTTTATTTTCACAAAACTCTTAATTCGATAAAGAGAATTACAAACTATTTGTAGTACTTATATGAAAAGACTCGAAAGCATTAATTAAACTGTTATAAAAAAAAAATCTTATTATTTAAATAAGATATATATATATATATATATATATATATATATATATATATATATATATATATATATATATATATATGAGTTTGAGTTTATTTATTTCAGAAATCAACTATATAATACATTTATATATTTTAATAAGGAAATGCTACACCAGACGCTTCCATGCTGAAAGAAGACACTCGTGTGTACGATCATTCGTCTATTACGAATTTCAATTTATGAACACTAACCTTGAACGAGTTAACTGATTCAGCTCTTATGGCGTTTAAAGGTAGCGTATTCCAAACATTCACGATGCGATTAGTGATGAAATGAAATCTTTCTTGACAGTTTTTTACTCTTTGGCGTTCGAGTGGAAGATAATGTCTACATAAATTATATTTGTAAATTGATGGTGCGTAGACTTGAAGGTTATCAAAAATAATTTGATCAATACCTTTTGAAATTTTAAACTGTTGAATCAGATCACCTAGAACTCTCCTTTATTTAAGAGTAGTTAAGCCGAGATGAAAAAGTCTTTCTTCATATGGCAAATGCTTTATTTCCGATATTGTTTTAGTTGCTTTATGCTGTACTTGTTCTAGAATAGCAATCTCTTTTTCATTGTGTGGTGACCAAGCCTGAATGGCAAATTCTAATTGAGGTCTAATATAGGTTTTGTAGAGTACTTTCCATAAATAGAGTCCACGACTTCTAAATATTTTTTTTAGTCTACCAAGTTTACTATTGGCTCTTGCTGCTGCTGATTCGACTTGATAGCATACCTTAAGATCGTCTGATAGAATTACTCCCAGATCATGCTTGTGCTTAGTGACGTCCAGTTGAATTTTGTTTCCACTCAAGTCAAGCATCGAATAATTTTGAACAGATTTGGAGTTACCACGCCCGACGTGCATAACTTTACATTTATCGAAGTTGAGAGGCATATTCTATTTATGCGACCAATCTACTGAGTTATCTATGTCAATTTGCAAGGTAATTTTGTCCTCGTCAGATTTTAGTACTCCGATTATTTTGCAATTGTCGGCATAAATCTTTATGTGATGATTAATATAGTCCGGCAGATCGTTTATATATAAGATAAAAAGAAGTGAACCGAGCACAGAGCCCTAGGGTACCCCGCTTGTTACATATTTCCATTTAGATTTATGATTTATGCATAAGCGATTACAGCCCGTTGATAACGATTCGTTAACCAGTTTGCTATCCAGTCTAAAACTATACCGTTTACACCATAGGCTTTAAGTTTGTGTAAGAGTCTGGCATGTAGAACTTTATCAAAAGCTTTCGCAAAGTCAGTGAAGATGGTATCAGTGGCGCAGCCTTGATGCATTGCTTCGGTTAGTATATCCTGAGTTTCAAGTAAGTTCGATGTGCATCTTTTACTTTGAAGAAATCCGTGCTGTTCTTTGAATATTAGGCTAGTGCTAAGACAGGGATTTCGTGTATAATACCTTCTATAATTTTGCAGGGTACCGATGTTAGTGATACTGGTCTATAATTGGCTCGGTTTTGCTTGCTGCCTTGTTTAAAAATTGGGGTGACATTTGATCTTTTTGAAAGCTCTGGAACCTGTGAATCGCAAATTGATTTTCGATAGATCATAGCTAATGGAATTGCAAATGCTGACGCGCAGTTGCGTAATACTCGTGGGTATATGTCGTCATATCCTTTTGACTAAGTTTCAATGAGCTTTTTTAGTCTTTTTTGAACTGAAGTCTCCGATATGAAATTTAAGTCTATAGTGCAAGATACATTTGTACGTGATTCGAAATCTGGCAGCAAATCTGGTTTTTCAGTAGTGAATACAGAATGAAAGTAATTGTTTAGAATATCTGAAATAACTGCACCGTCGGTTATAATGTTTTTATTGTCATCTTCGAGAGCTTGAAGTGAGTTATTAGTTTCTTCTTTATTTTTGATGTGATCATAAAGTTTCTTTGGGTCATTTTTGAAAGCACTAGCTAACTGATGTTCGTATCTTTTAATAGCTTTTTTTATTACCTCTGATACATGTTTACAAGCTATTTTATGCTTACTCCTGAGTGCTTCATGTGTTTTAGTTCCAGAAGCAACATATTGCCTCGCAAAGGTTTTTTTATAGCAAAATTTCCACCTTCAATCTTCACTTGCAATATTTAGAGAATAAATGAAGGTAAATATGAAAAGCATTTATTTAATTATATTCTCAAACTATCAGTTGAAAAAGTTTCGAAAAAACATATATCAATTAGATTTCTTAGTTTTTTTAAATTAAAATATTATTTTAAAAAAGAGTCGCATAAGTGATGGATTTGCTCCGTGACGAATTTACCCTGCCTTACCCTCCTATTTATACTCTCATTTATAAAAATCCAGTAAAATATTTGGTTCCATTACAAAGTTTAATTTATCTTCACGTATTGTTTGGCCGTTGTCAGTTCTTACTAAATCTTGCTATTATTTTTTCACTACTATTCAGACTAGCAAAAGCTCTGAAACTTTAAACGCTTGTATAGTTCTGGTAAGCTTCTTTGTTAAAGATTTCTAGGGGCAAAGACCCGAAAGGTTCGTATTGTATGTGCTTTTAATTTTTTACTAACCTCCAAAATAGGTAAGCTTTATAACTTTCAGCAGTTGTATAGTCCCATTAACGTTGGGATGTTACATATTAAAGCATTTTCCAGGGCCAACAATACAAGGGGGAACAAGTGCCCTTCCCACCTTTCCACCCTAACTTTTTTATAAGAGAAAACATTTTAGAAAAAAATCTTTATAAAGGATGTCTTTAAAAAATTTCTTAAATTTATTTTTTATAATTAAGATAATAAATGCAAAAGCTCATAAATCAGAGCATCTTAAAGAAAAAAAGAAAAAAAAAAGAAACTGGTTAAGCATAAAATCGTACTATTTGTAAACAAATTAAAGCTATTTTTAAGCATTTAAATATATAATTAAGTTTTAGTATTCATTGCTTAAGTTAGGTCTTTTTTGATTTCAATAAAGTCATTGTTTCCCGATTACGCAATTGCATTCGTAAGTTAACGCTGTTCAAATTATCTTCATTACTTAACTCTTATTCATGAAATGACATTTTAAAAAGTATATTTCATAAAAGTTTAAGTTTATTCATAAAGGTGTACAATTAAAACTTATCAATATCATATAATAATTAGTATTTTAGTTACTTAAGTAATTATACGTATTTGATTCATAAAACGTAATTAAATATATTTATTATGCCGCGTTTCGTAAGTGTTTTTGTGCGACTTCCGTAAGCGCTACTTTTGTATGTGGCAAAATAGTTTTATTTCGTTGTTTAAATTGCAAAAGGCTACATTTTGGAAGTAGCATTTGCGAAATGAACATCGCTGGTTTTTTTTGTTTCACAAAATTCGGTACGAAAAAACAACATTCCTGATTCTCAATATCCTTCCGGAAGAATTTTATTTTTCCAGAATTGTACAAAATCTTCCGATTAACAATTCTAGTTAGAGAGTTATTACTATGCGCGTAAAAATATTTCAAATTTTAAATTTATTAACAAGAAAAACTCAAATATTCCATTATTTAAATATTTTAAAAAACTAATACCATCATTAACTCAATACATTTAAATTCAAATTGAAGTATACATTTATGAGTATGTGAACAATAAAAAACGTTTTATTAGTTGCAACTGTATTGCACTTCAAGATATTTATATGTTCCAACACATGGGTCGCCAAATACTGCATTTGAGGCTTTAATAGTACAAGAAGATTTTGCTGAACAGTTTTTATTAACAAGTTCAATTGTATTTTTTTCATTGTTACATTTTGTGTTTGAATCTTGTGTTCCAGGACAGACATTAGACAAAGTTCTACCGTAGTTGGCTTGGATTACTTTAATTTTTTGATTACTACTACACTCTATTTTTAAATCACTACCTTCACATGCTCGTACAACGTTTGAATGAGATTTACCTAAAGATAAGCAATATCTTAAATGCCGTTTTGTCTGTTTGTTTTTTTTATTTATTATTCTTATAATTTATTTATATATAATTAATTAGTTACTACAAGATATATATCTTTCAGCGACTAATTGGAAATGTCTACAACAAGATATATATATATATATATATATATATATATATATATATATATATATATATATATATATATATATATATATATATATATATATATATATTATATATATATATATATATATATATATATATATATATATATATATATATATACATATATATATATATATATACACACACATACATATATATATATATATATATATATATATATATATATATATATATATATATATATATGTATATATATATATATATATATATATATATATATATATATATATGCATATATATATATATATATATATATATATATATATATATATATATATATATATATATATATATATATATATATATATATATATATATATATATATATATATTAGACTTAAATTTGTATAACATAAAAAACAATCTATTTACAGTGATATTGTACTTCTAGGTATTTATATGTTCCTATACATGGATCTCCAAACACTGCATTGGTGGCTTTAACAGTACAAGAACACTTGTCTGAACAGCTGTTTTGTATAACTTCGAGTGACTTTTTTCTATTATCACATTTTGTATTTAAATCATTAGCACCTGGACAAACACCAGGTAAAGTTCTTCCATAGTTTGCATTAACTATTTGAATTGTTCCTTTACCATTACAATCAATTTTTAAATCCCTTCCTTCACATGCTCGAGCAACAGAATATTGTGGTTTGCCTAAAATATGTGATTTGTTATTTTAAAAGAATTACATTTTGTTATTTCTTTTTAATATAAGAGAACTAAATAAACTAATAAAAACACTTATATGATTGTCATATATAAATACAAAAGAAATTTTTTTTGTTTTAATAAACAATAAACATCCTGTCACGTGATTTAACTCTAGAGATTCTACAACTTGCATAATTTTTATCATAATTTTTAAGAAAAAAGAGATAAAAAACTAAGATAAAAAGTATAAGCAATATCTCACAATACGGTTAGCTCTTTTAAATTTGAAAATTCGTATTAGTTTAGGCTAAAAAAAAATTCAATAATGAAAAAAAAAAGTGTATACATACACTTATATTGCACTTCCAAGTATTTATATGTTCCAACGCATGGATCACCAAAAACGTTGTTGGAGGCTTTAACGGTACACGAACATTTTTCTGAGCAAGTGCTATGAATTATTTCAAGCGACTTTTTTTTGTTATCACACTTTGTATTTAAGTCATTAGCTCCAGGGCAAACACCCGACACAGTTCTCCCATAATTTGCATCAACTATTTCAATTAATCCTTTCCCATTGCAATCTATTTTTAGATCGCTTCCTTCACATGCTCGTGCAATAGGTACTAGTGATTTACCTATTTATATGTTTGATATATATATATATATATATATATATATATATATATATATATATATATATATATATATATATATATACAAATATATATGTTATATATATTTATATTTATATTATGTTTTTAAAATAAAAATTAATTACATCTGTATTGCACTTCAAGGTATTTGTATGTTCCTACGCATGGATCACCAAACACTGCGTTGGATGCTGTAATAACACATGACGACTTTGCAGAGCAAAGATTGTGTATAATTTCTAGCGACTTTTTTTTGTTATCACACTTTGTATTTAAGTCATTTGCACCAGGGCAAACTCCGGCCACAGTCCTCCCATAATTTGCATCAAGTATTTCAATTAATCCTTTCCCGTTGCAATCAATTTTCAGATTGCTTCCTTCACATGCTCGTGCGAAAGGTACTTGCGGTTTACCTACATATAAGTTATATATATATATATATATATATATATATATATATATATATATATATATATATATATATATATATATATATAATATATAAATATATATATATATATATATATATATATATATATATATATATATATATATATATATATATATATATATATATATATACATATATATATATATATATATATATATATATATATATATATATATATATATATATATTCACTTTTATATATATTTAAAATAATGTTTATATTATGTGTTTAAAATAATATATATTTACATCTAAATTGCACTTCGAGGTATTTGTATGTTCCTACGCATGGATCACCAAATACTGCGTTGGATGCTGTTATAATACATGACGACTTTCCAGAGCAGATATTGTGTATTACTTCCAGCGACTTTTTTTTGTTATCACATTTTGTATTTAAGTCATTTGCTCCAGGGCAAACTCCTGACACAGTCCTTCCATAATTTGCATCAACTATTTCAATTAATCCTTTCCCGTTGCAATCAATTTTTAAATTGCTTCCTTCACATGCTCGTGCAAAAGGTACTTGTGGTTTACCTAAATATATGAATAATATATACATATATATATATATATATATATATATATATATATATATATATATATATATATATATATATATATATATATATATATATATATATATATATATATTAGGGTGTTGAAAAGATTTTTCACAAAAAAAACTATTGTGATAGGAAAATGGGAACAAAAAACTAAAATTTTAGCCCCCTCTACCATAAAAGTGAGGGCAATGAGTTGAATTAATTTTTTTTTTTATAAGTATAAACTAGTTATCTATTCATCGACAGACTTCAAATTTTATGTTTAAATTATTCAGTTCCCTCTCAATATCCACTCCTATCATAGTAATTTTTTTTGTGAAGAATTATTTCGTCATACATATGAGCATAAAAAATTTTGAATATTCTTTTTGCTTAAAAGTTGGTTATTTCAAAAATTTAAAAACCTTCCTACGCAACTGTATATATATATATATATACATATGGGGGCAATCCGTAAAGGACGTCACCATTTTTTAGCCAATTTTTGACCCCCTCCCCCCTTTGTCACCGGTTGTCTTTTTTCACTATACCCCTGGAAAAGAACGTCATAAAATCCTGACCCCCCTCCCTATTTTTAACTCCAAAAAAATTTATTTCATCTTGCAATGATGTTTGAATCTGCTGCACCTTTAAAAAATAAAATTAAAAATATTCTCCACTTTTGGTGCTTTTCATTGTAAAATTGTCATCGCTACAACAAATCTATAAAATTTGTTTTGCAAATTTTCAATTGAAAAAGAATGACTGCAATTTTTTATTTGAATAAGAGAAATAGCATAAAATACTAAACAGAAGACAAATAAAGTTAGACAGGTTAAATTGCATATAAAGGTTCTTCTCTGAATAAAGTAACATTTGTTAATCATAAATTTAGCATAAAAATCTTTTTGTTAATTTTAACATTTATTCCTTGCTTTAGTATATAAATCTGTGCTGTTTTTAAAAAGCTGACACTAGTAATTATGTAGACAACTAAGCTAAATCTTGCATAATTTTTTTTAATGATTATCAAAATTTTGATAAAATATTTTTTGGGAAAATCCGCGAAAATCTTTTTACTAATGCATGTTTCTAATTATACTTACTTTTTTACTTATGCATGTTTTTAATTATACTTACTAAAACCTAGCTCCAAAAGATTACTTTGTAAATTAGAACTAAGAACAACTGCAAAGCCTTCCTCAAAAAAATTATTCATAAGAGATACAGTTGCTTGTAAGGTTGTTATAAGAGCACAAGAAGTTTTTTTCGTTAATGTAAAGTATTTATCAAATTTTATTTTGATTAAATTTCAGTGCTATTTACAATTTCTCTATAAAGTGTGGGTTTATTATCAGCTTTGCTGAGTTTGATTGGATAAATCAAACTCAGCAAAGCTGAAACATAGATTGGATGTTTCTAAAATATGTGACTTGATAATTAATTTTACTTGCCTGTTTAATAATTAATCTCTTAATAAACTTTAAGAAATATATTCCCTGCAATGTAACTAGCAGTAACTTTACATAGTCTCTAGAAAAATCAAATAAAAAAGAATATTTTTTTTTTTTTGCGTTTAATAAGTTTTTTCTTACATTTTTTATAAAACGAAATATATCAAATAATAAATATGTTTTATACACTCCTTTTTTAAACTGAATGATAAATTTATAGTTTTCCATCACCAATATATGATTTATGAAACTATAAAAATGCATTAACATTGGTAGAATGATTATCTGTCACAACAGCCCTTATCTTAAATTCAGATTGGCGCATTGAGGTAATACACTCATCAACTTCTTTTTTCAAACATAAACTTGTTATGTAAACTTTTGGTGAGGATTTTAAAATTAAAACAAAAACAACTTTATAAAGATTATTTTCTCAATCTTCATCAAATTGTTTACAACTTTGAGATTGAGCTGCTTTTTGGAAGTACATCTTAACCACAAGAAGCAGATAATCACTTAACAACAAATTTTTGTCAATAATATTTCTAATATAATATAGTTTTTTAATTTGTAATTTTCACCACTGCGAAACCATTTTAATAAAGAAATATGAAAATATGAAATATGATAAGCATTTATTAGGCAATGAAAAATAAAGAACTTTTATTAACAGATATTGACTCCAAAACAGTTGGTATGCCTGATATTTCTTGGCCTGTTTTGTTGCATTTTAATTGCTGTATGTATGAAACACAAGCATAGTAGAGTTTTTACATTTCAAAACGTTGTTTTGCAGTGTAAATATTTCAAAGAAAAATCGATTTTTTATATCTAATAACTGCAATTATAATAAATACAAAAGTACAAACCTTTAAAATTATTTCCAATGGAGAGTTGTGGGTAGTTTTAGCAACATGTAAGGTTATTTTTACTAGCATGTCGGTATGTGTTGATATAGCTATCTGAAAGCCTATTTCAGTATTCTGTGTAATTGGAATAAACTGAAGCAGGCAATCAGTTAACAAAAAATCCAGCACAAAATAATGTAAGTACTCAAATAAAATCTAACTATTATTAAACCATTTTAATAAAATCAGAATAAACCAATTATAGTGCAAACAAGACTCATTACCATAGCGAAAATTAAGTTTTTATTCTGGAGCCGTAAAAAAACTGGCCTTTTAATTTTTTACGGAAAATGCAACAAATCAGGCCGTGTAATTTAAGTAGGCCATGTATCTTCTCAAAAACATACGTTTACGTAGTTTTCCATGTTAATTAAACTAAAATAAAAAATCTATAAAGTGACGTCCTTTTCTGACAACCTCCTTCCTCCCCTTGTCCTTTTTAACTCGATCCCCTTCCCCTCTATTTGGATGACGTCCTTTATGGATGGCCCTATATATATACATACATACATATATATATATATATATATATATATATATATATATATATATATATATATATATATATATATATATATGTATATATATATATATATATATATATATATATATATATATATATATATATATATCTATAAAGGAAAACTATAAAGTGTGTGTGTGTGTGTGTGTGTGTGTGTGTGTGTATGTGTGTGTGTGAACAATTTTAAATGAACTCTACAAAATAGAGAGCTCAATATTCTTAAAAGAACAGACCAATAATAAATGAGTAAAAAATCGCTTATCAAAATTTTTCATTTTGAAATGAAATGTATACATATATATATATATATATATATATATATATATATATATATATATATATATATATATATATATATATATATATATATATATATATATATATATATATATATATATATAAAACAAAATCCGTTGGATTATACTATAAGTATTATATCATATTTATGAATTTATAAAAGAATGTTAAAACATATAAAGTTAAATAAAAGATTTACATTTGTACTTCACTTCTAGGTACTTGTATGTTCCCACGCATGGATCACCAAATACTGTATTGGATGCTTTAATAATACATGAACTCTTGTCTGAACAGCTACTGTGAACAATATCAAGAGATTTTTTTTCGTTTGTACATTTTGTGTTTGAATCGTAGGCACCAGGACAAACATTAGACAAAGTTCTACCGTAGTTTGCATAAATCACTTCAATTTTTTCCTGACCATTACAATCAATTTTAAGATCGCTTCCTTCACATGCACGCACAACATGAGATTCGTCTAGAAATATTTTAGAAATTTCAAACCATTTGAATTTAATTATAATTAAATATACAATATTCTAATTTGTTAAAAAACAAATTTGTTTTACCACTTCTTAATTATATTGGTCACAAATTTTAATTAAGCCCCTTTATATATATATATATATATATATATATATATATATATATATATATATATATATATATATATATATATATATATATATATATATATATATATATATATATATATATATATATATATATATATATATATATATATATATATATATATATATATAGACGTCTTTTGAACGTTCAAAAGACGTCTTTTTTAGCTCCTATGCCCACTGGGTAATTCAAATTTTATATTTTATAAAATAATACAAGATGAAACAAAAAAGATAAAAAATAAAACTGCAACAACATAATAAAATCTATTACGTCAAACTAGTGTACATATATTATATTTACAAGATTCAAGTTTATATTTCGAACAAATAATTTTTTTGACGTTATTGAATATTGGGTTATTTGCAATATTTTAAATATTCTGATTAAATATATGGAGATACTTACCAACGGCTTCAGCAGACCCAGCAAAGATAACCAAAAAAATCAGAAAAAAATGTTCCATCGCCATTTGCTGAAGTTGGTTAATAATTAAAAAAAAGCAGTTTTACTTTTATTTATAGTGATATCAGAAATTTACTTAATTATTGGTAATTATCTTTAATAAACCGTTTGCATAACATTGGAAATTAGTTTATAATTAAATAAATATGTCCACTCATAAAGAATTAAAAAAGCAATACTGAAATATCAAAACTATTGATTTTGAAATGTACGGGTTATCGTTTTGCTTGTTGTTATTTAAATAATTTGATATAAAAATTATTATAAAACATACATAATATAATACAGGATGATATCAAAATTAACCACGAGGTCTAAAAGATTATAAACCATACAGTAATATTTAGAGCACATAACAATATTTATATTGCACGAAAATTTATTACATTTTATGCACTAAAAATTGATTCAATGGATAAACTAACATATAGGCACAGACATTCCTGAGATGTTTATACAATGTCTAATGGGCATCACCAGTCCTTAGGACGTCATCAAGATGCCTGAGTTTCAGCTACAAGAGTAGATATGAAGCTGATAGCGGTAAATTAGAATGTAGTACTAAGTTTTTTAGTAATGTGGTACTAAGTTTGCTAAATTTAACTTTTAAATAGTTCAGAGAAGTTTAATAGCTTTAAAGCAACTCTTAAGGTGGTACATCCCCATTAATTTCGAAATTTTTTAGAAAAAATCAATTTTTTGAAAATTGGTTTTTTAAATTCAAAATTTTTCATAGAATAATATTATTAATTATTTTTTTAATAAATAAATAAGGAAGTGTGTACAATTATGTGTTTTGTGGCCATAGTAGATTGAGAAGTCCGTAGCAACGCCATAGCAACGCATTTTAAAACAAAAAAATTTAAACTTGCTCAAGTTTTTTAACATCAAAAACTCTTTTCTACTGCAGCTTCTTGTTTGTTTTTTGCTTCATGTTTATTTTAAAAGCTATAACTTGAACTACTAATGCGAACATGTATCAAAATATTGTGCTTGCATGCTGTTTTAGATTGTCAATGTTCTTATAGATAAATAGCTAAATAAGATATGGGACGTTCTATTGCTCGAACTAAAAAAAGAAAGTTTTCTTGTAATCAACACCTAAAATCTTCAAAGTTTATTCAGCTTGATTCATCAATTTCTGATCCAAGTTTATCAGCAAGCTCTAGAAAACTAGTAAACACTGAAATATCTGGAAGTCAAAAAAATTACAATATCATTATTAACTTTAATATTTTAAAACTAATGGTTAGTGAGTTTGAATGCCCTAAATGTGGAAATGAAGTTTGTTTGGAAAATGACTTAAAAAGCAAGAAAGGTTTTTGTTTTTACTTAACTTTACAGTGCCTTTGTTGCCCATTTAGCGAAGGATGGTACACGTCTCAGTTTTCAACTAAAAAATCTAAAAGTACTCCAGGTGTTCCTACTGCATCAGTTAATTTTCAAGTTGTTACTGCTTTTCGTGAAACTGATAAAGGTTATCAATCTATATGCAAATTTGCTGCAGTAATGAACATGCCATCTCCTATGAATTTTAAAAATTATAGTGCAATTAATAACAACTTGTTAAATATTTATAATGAAGTTGCTTCTGCAAGTATGTCAAGTCCTGCCAATGAAAGCAAAAATATTATTTCTAATTCAAGCAATGTTAATGATGTTTCTGCTTGCCAAGTTTCTGTTGATGGTACCTGGCAAAAGAGAGGTCATCGATCTTTAAATGGTATTGTCACTGCAATATCAAGAGAGAATGGAAAATGTATTGATTCAATTTTGTTAACTAAGTTCTGCAAAGCTTGTAGTTATTGGAACAAAAAAAGTCAACACCAGGTTATCAAAACTGGAAAATAAATCATGTTTGTGAAGCTAACCACAATAAATCATCAGGATCCATGGAAGCTTCTGGTGCTGTTTCAATTTTTCAACGGTCAATTGAAAAGCATAGTTTGAGATATGAAGGATATATTGGAGATGGAAAAGGTTGTCTGACAGATAAAGCCATAAATACGCTTCAAAATTATTTTGGTATGGCTATCCGTCAAAATGTGAATAACCTTTATGCAATGAAAAAAGCTGCTTGGGCTATTTTTACCCACGAACTAGAACTAGTTGGTGTTTGTGGCAGAGTAATAAAGTAACTGGTGAAACAACATACAAAACCAAATTAAGCTTACCATTAGCAATTAAAGCAGTACTTATGCCTATATTTACAGATTTGAGAAATGAAACATTGTTATCAAAATGTTTGCACGGACAAACTCAAAATAACAATGAAAGTCTGAATGCCTTAATACGGAAAAAGATGTCCTAAAGATTTTTTTGTTGGGAAAAAAGTTCTTGAGATAAGTATGAACTCAGCTATTAAAGCATTTAATGATGGAAGCACAGCAGTTGAAAAAGTAATTAGTGCTGGAGGTATTGAATCAAGTATGTTTATGCAAGAAAGACTTCGTAAATTGGACCTCATCCGAATTAAAAAAATGAATCACAAATCAAGTGCTAAAGGTAAATTAAGGAGACAAGCTTAAAAAAACAGCTTAGAGCCATCAAAAAAGGTTACATAGATATTGAAAAAGAACTGGAAAAGGACCCACAATATAATAGTGGAGGTTTTTAATTGAGCTTGTACTTCTTTTCCTAATATAACGAACTTTTATTTTGTTTTTTGTGTTTTTCTCAAAATGTCATTTTTACCAAATATCTAAATTTTAAAACGCAATATTTTCAGTTTGGGACCATATGCTGACTTGAAATTTTCAGGGTGCTTTTCTTATAAATTGACTTAGGTAATGAACCAAAATTACAAATAAATATCATGTATAAGTATGTTTAAAATCTTTTTTTCTTTTTTTTTTTTGTTAAAAATTTTCTTAAATTTATAGAAAATTACTTTTAAAATGTTCTATGTATCTTTAATGCATGATTTTGGTTCATAACCTCTTTGTACCTTTTAGGAACATAATGTGAAAATTTCAGAGTGAAAGGATATATAGAACTGGAGATATCTTGTTTTAAATTACACCCATATTTTGGCAATTCTTATGGAATAAGTGAGGCAAAAGTTGGGCAATCGAGATTTCATTTTTAAAAAAATAATCAACATACTTTTTTAAACTTGTGTAATGTAGTTTTAATTTTGTATAGATTATTTTAAAGAAATTTTTTAGAATGGGGGTGTACCACCTTAATAGTTCAGAGAAGACGATTTCCGAACGGATGCATAAGAAACGGAAAAACTTTTTCAAAAGAGTGAAAACCTCAACAGCAAAAGAATCTTTGGCCCAACCTATTTGGCTAAAACATTTAAAAAGTTTTATCTGTATTTAAGACTTTTTTTAAATTAGAAAACTTAAAGTTTTATATATATGTATGTTGTTGTTTTATTATTAGGAGTGTCTATTCGCACGATTTCACCTGTTAATAAACTATATTTAAGACCGTATTTATTATTCATATTTTATTTTATATTCCATTATTAATTAATTTTGAGCAGTTAAATATATGAAGTTTTAAAGGATGTTAAGATCTGACATGTGCATTAAATACAATATTAGTTTTTAACAAGAAGCAAATATCTTTTAATTCTTTTAATTTTAATATTTTAACAGTTTTGAATATTGTTAGTTCTTTGTAGGAAAAATATTAAAATGTTGCAGTGTTTATGTTTCTCTAAAATCCCATATCAAAATTTTTTATTTATTAGAACTGTTTAGTAAGTAATAAGCAGTAAATTACTTCCTGTTTCTAACACTTTTGATATTCACTTGGTAACTGTCATTCAAAGTCAATATCAAATCATTTTCAACGACAGATTACGTAATTATTGTCATTAATAAAAAAAACCAAAGTTTGGTTATTATTTTCTAAATACTAAAAAGTTCACAAAACTGAAACTTATCAAGGGCGCCAAAAATAGATTAACCCATGGCGTCGATAACCAAGTTCTATTTTAATATATATATATATATATATATATATATATATATATATATATATATATTATATATATATATATATATATATATATATATATATATATATATATATACAGGGCAGTGCCTGGGCATTTGGCCGGCTGCGTGCTAGTATGAATGGCCACCCTTTGAGGTAGCAAATATCAAAGAAAAAAATCAAATTTTAATTTTTAATTTATATTTACAAAATTACATGTAACATTAACATTTACATATTAAAATGAAAATTAATCCGACTCTATTTTAGGGAAGCAAATTGTTCAACCGCTTCTTGAATATATAACGAATCAGCAATGTCACTTTCTATTGCAATAATTGAAACATTACTGAGACGTTCTTATGTCAAGGATGTTCTCAGGTAATTTTCAATCATTTTCATTTTTGAGAAACTTCGCTTTCATGAAGCAACGGTTAGAAAAAGTTTTAAATTCGTGGTGACATTTGGAAAAGACGTCTCCAAGTTGTATTTATTTACAAAGTTTAGGAATTTTTCAGGCTGCTTTTTCTCTTATTCGGTTATTTTCAAAGAAATTATTTCTTCATATAATTCCGCGCCATTTATATCACAGAACTCACCATCTTTAAATTTATTATGAAAATCAAAACAACTTTTTTTTATTTCTTCATCTTCCATATGAATAAATTTATAGAGAAATCCAAAACATTGTTTGAAATTTGACAAAGTTTCAAAACGAGTGATAAGAGATGAAACATATGTATGTAGTATTACATGATAAAAATTAATTTGAAAATTTTCTTTTGGAATAAATTGAATATCTTCTCCTTCATTGCTAAATTGTTTTCGGTGACGTCGGCGACATACACTAATTTCAGCAGGAAAATCCGGTTTTGTTTCAACTGGTTTACAAATTTTAATTATTTCTATCATTTCAATTGCTTTTAAAAAATTTCCATTGTTTTTTCCCTACAATTTGCTGGAAGAATCTCTAAATACTAAACACTGTCCTTCTAGAAATTGTACCACAGATATCGTGCGTGTGACAATTTAACATTTTTTCTCGGCATCATAACCCAGTGGGCACAAGACGTTATTTCGACGTTGATTTACAGTTGATTTTTAATCGCGACGTCGTATAACCAAAAATCAACGTTGTATCAACGTTGAAAAATTTGTTTAAAACTATCAAATAAAATCGACGTTGATTCCACGTTAATTCAACGTCTATATTACGAGTTCGATCGTTCGTAATTGCAATATGAGAACTAAAGTACGCATGCGTGACTTAAAATTTTTTTATCAACACAACAAATAACAAGTAAAGACTTAACAAGTTACTTATTAACCCAATAAAAACAAGTAAAGTCACACATGCTAATAAATTAGGTCATCTGTTGCCTTTTTATAAGGTTTTAAATTTGACAATTTAACAATAATACATGGCTTAACTTGTGATGCAGTTAGTTAGGTAAATATTAAATGGATATTGCTTTATGACCGTATTATTTTATGAGTGTGGATTACAA